GGACCATTTGCCCAGGGGCAAGTGTTAAGTATCGGCGTCGTCGGTCAGCTTGCTGCTTAGCCCTCTGATTGGCTTTTAGGATGGCATCGATGGCTTTTTACTGAGATTGTCGGAGATTTTCGACGAACTGCTGAGTCCTTGGTGCCAGATTTTCTATCGGTGGTGATAGAGGGGTTGTCGGATCTATCCCGTAATTAAGGAAGAACGGGGACTGAGTCATCGTGGTCGATGGGGCATTGTTGTACGCAATCTCCATCAAGGGAAGGGCATCTTCCCATTGGACCGGGTCTGTGCATGTCGTGCGAATCAACTGCTCCATCGTCTGGTTGGTGCGCTTACTCTGACCGTCCGATTGCGGGTGGTACGCCGTAGACATATACAGACGTGTGCTATATTCGTGTGAGGTTTTTGTCCAGAATTTGGACGCGAACCGTGGGTCACGATCGCTGATGATTGCCGAGGGGATGCCGTGTCGTCGCACGATGTTCGTGAGGAACAGTTTCGCTGTTTGCTCGGCAGTAATTGTCGTTTTGCACGCGGCGAAATGGCCCATTTTGGTCAACCGGTCAACGACGACGAGGATCGCGTTCTAACTGCTTGAACCAGTTGGCAGGCTCGTAACGAAGTCCATCGTTACTTGTTGCCAGGGACGGCTGGGTGGCTCGAGCGGCTACAGCAATCCAACAAGTCGAATTTGGGAAGACTTCATGCATTGACACGTGGCGCAGGAGGTTACGTACTGCTGCACGTCTGTCAGTAGGTCGGGCCAATAATAATTACGCCTCATTAATTTTGCGGTTTTGTCGATGTCGTAGTGACCCGAGAAATTCGAGTCATGTGCCTCCTGGATCTGTCATTCCCGTAGGGTACGGTAGGCGGGAACCCAAATCCGACTGGAACCGTATTTTTATATAATAGGCCCCTTGCTTAACCGTCAGTTGGGGATGACTGTTAATGGTAAAGAATGGGTCGGTACTGTATCCGTGGGTGAATAGGCCAGTTAGCAGCGGATTAGCTTGGGTAATAAGGACTGTGGCGGTGTGGACCGAGGGGCGGGTCAGTGCGTTGGCGATGTTGCTGACCCCTCGTTTGTAGGTGACTCTGTAGTGGAAATTGGACTCGAGGTAGTCGAGCCAGCGAATCTATCAGGGATTCAGTGTCGGTTGGGCACGGATGAAATGTAGCGACTTGTGGTCTGTTCGGAATGTTACGTCAGTGCCCGCCATGTAGCAGCGACAGACTTTGAAAGCGTGAACAATGGCGAGTAACTCCTTGTCGTGGACAGGAAAATTTCGCTCGGCCGGGTTCAGCTTTCGTAACTCGTAGGCGATCAGTTGTAGGCCTTCACAGAAGTCTTGTAACAAGACTGCGCCAACGGCGAGATCGCTAGCGTCGGTGACGAGCTCGAATGGACAGTGATGATCTTCAATCCGAAGAACCGGTGGTGTAGTCTGGAAAAGTTTAAGCTTTTCGAACGCAGCCTGCTGCTCTCCCCCCCACTCCAAAAACGTGCCCTTCTTCAGGAGATCCGTGAGAGGGGAAGTTACCCCTGCCATGTTCGAATGAAATGGCGGACGTAATTAACAAACCGCAGAAAACTCTGAAGCTCACGGAGATTAGCCGGCAGCTTCCAGTCTTGGATTGTCACGAGGGTCAATTTTAATACCGTTGATGGAAATCACGTGACCCAAGAACTCTAGTACGTGTTTTGAAAATTCGCACTTAGAGCCCTTAGTGATGAGGCGGTTCTGTTGCAGGAGAGAGAAAACTGCTTCCAAATTCTTCAAGTGCTGCTCCCGGGTTGTAGACGAGGATGTCGTCGAGGTATACGATGACGCAACTATCCAGCAGCGGCCGAAAAATTTCGTTCATGGTCAACTGGAATATCGAAGGCGCGTTTGTTAAGCCGAATGGCATGACCGTGTACTCGTAACTCCCGTACCGGGTTCAAAACGTCGTCTTGAAGTAGTCAGCTTCGTGCACTCGAAGTTGGTGGTAACCGCATCGCAGGTCAATCTTCGAGAAAGATCTGGCCCCGCGAAGTTGGTCGATGAGGTCGTCTGCATGTGGAATGGGGTAGCGAGACTTGATGGTAACCTGATTCAAGGCGCGGTAGTCGATACACATACGTAGACCGCCATTTGTTTTCGGGGTGAAAAGGACTGGAGCTGCAAATGGTGATGTGCTGAGGCGGACGAAACCTTTCTTGAGCTGGTAGTCCAGCTGGCGTCGAAGTTCATCTAACTCCGGCTGAGTCAGCCGCCATTGGGTTCGAATAGTAGGCTACACGCCCGGCTCGAGCTCAATTTTGTGGTCATGTGGCCGCTGAGGTGGCAAGCCTGCCGGTAGGTCGTCAGGAAATATGCCGGCGTGCTTCCGATTCACTGTTGCCAAATCATCCGATACAGCTGCGCAAAGTTTGTCGATGTCGTTCGGCGTGTCAACAGCCGTTGATGCGATCCATCGGATGGCATACAATTGCGCTCCTCGAATCATGGCGCGCTTTATAGTCACTGTGCTAACCGTCGAGGTTGTCGAGTCTTGACTGCTCCAAAAAGGTAGCCGTCACCACTCGCCACTCCACTTTATGCGACAATCGCGCGTCCGCCAGTCGATGCTTGGGTTGTATTCGCACGGCCAATCGCGTCCCAGAAGCATGTCGCACCTGTCCAAAGTTGTCGCCGGCATCTTCGTCAAGAAACTGATTTTTTCGCCACAGGTGACTCGCATGTAAGGCACGCGCTCCCGAATCGCCAGTGGCGTGCCGTCAACCAACCTCGCGTCGATTTCGGACATGCAGCGTTCCAGTTGCAATCGGAGTTTCTTCGTTTTTGTCACATCCATCAAACTGTGGCTTGCCTTACCATTAACAAATATTTTGATGCGGGTGTCACCAACTCTTCCTTCAACCTACACAGGGCGATCAACCGGTTCACCCCCCTTATTCAGCCAGGAATGGTCGATAGCCCAAATCGGCACTATAACCTGGTGGGGGTGGTGGCGTTTGGGCGACGCAATCAAGTCAGTAGGTCACCCATCAGCTACTAACGATCTCCATTTCTCGACTGCTTCCCATCGTTAGCTAAGATCTTCTTCAGCGGCAGGCAGTCCCTCACCATGTGGCCCGGCTGGTTGCAGTGGAAACAGCATCCGGAAAATACCCGGGCTGCAAACACGTCAACGCCGTTGACTGATGTGTGTTGGGGCTGGCCTCGAAAGCGATTTCCCTCCCAGAAACCCGCCCTCGCGAGCCCACGCCTTGCGTCCAGTGCATCCGCGATTTCGACGATTTAGTTGAATGTTGCCGAGGCTCGCAGGACGATCTCTGGTTTGATACCACCCACGTTGCGATCGATCTTCTCGTCTTCGCTAAGCCCTCCGATTTGATCGCATAGCGCCAAGAACAAAGCCGTGTATTCTTGGACAGAGCCCAACTGTCTCCACATCCGGAGCCTTGTGCGAGCGTTTTCGCCGAGGATATGTGCTCGAATCGGCTCTTCAATGCTTCGCCCCACGCTTTCCACGTGCGGATCGTGGCCGACCCAAATATCAGTTCTGCCTGAGCCGTTGATGAACCGTGCTCCCCATCTACCGCCCGTTGATTCCCTGCCGGGGCTCCTCCCTCGTCCAGATGCATGTGCCACCAGTCGAGTGCCGGTCCCCTCAGCAGCGACACAACTAAGTTGACACGTGACGCGTTGTCATTAATACTTGTTGCTGTGAAGAAGATTTCCATGGCGAACAGCCAACCGCTCATTGTAGTTGTTCTGTCGGTCGGGTTGAACAGCGGTGGCATCGGAGGTTTGATTTTAATGGCCGTCCGTGGCCCGTTGTGGACTTCTTCAACTGATTTAGGTGTCACCGACACCCTCGCTTTGCTCGCAACATCTTCGTCTCGGGTAACAGGCCGCCCCTGACGCGTTTCACTCCGCATCTGGCGGAGCGACGAGTTTTTGTTGCGCAGCATCTGCACTTCGCTTCCCAGGGACTCGAACTCATCGGCGAGTTGTTGAAGGTGGGCCTGCAGTATCGTCACTATAGCCGCCCTGGCTTGCAACTCGTCAAACTCCTCCTGAGTCACGTTCCTAACACTACGACGGGCAGAGGTTTCCGGCGTGATTGACGTGCTGGAAATTTTAGCCGACAGATCTGAGGGTGCACGTGCTTCTAGTTGGAGGAGCTTTAACGAGCTCACCTACCAACCGCTGGCCAACCGTCTATTCTCTCGGGTCCTCTCCAGATATAAACGGAGTACAATGGAAGACTAAGCATGCAGGAACGGAGCTCTGATACCAGCTGTTATGAATTAATCAGAGTAATAACATGTATTGTAGTAGAGTAGGGATTCAAGAGTGTCGATACAAATGAGGGCCTAGGCATTTATAGGCACGAACAGAGCTAGCCGAGAACCACGGGAACAGGTTGGGGCGATCCGTTTGGCGAAAGCTACGGAAGCGCCCCGCGTCTAGGTTTGGGTTCGCGAGGTGGTTCAAGGCCGAAGAAGTTGGGCGGGCCTGAACTTCCGAGAGTCAAGGGCGTACGCGCTGTAGTCGAGCCGAATAAGGAAAAGGGGATTTCCTTATACGACCTGCTCGGAGCCGCGCGGGTTACCCCAAGCGTGAAACCCCAAGGTATCCAGTTGTTATGAATTATAACTAAGAGTATAGCGCAGAATACTATAGAGGAACGTGATTACAATGTGTCCTAACCAAATGAGACCTAGGGCTTATATAGTGCGAGTTGACCATGTTGAATGTCGAGGCTTGGACCAGTCAAGGGCTCGTTCGTCCCGAAGGTGACGGGGTCAAAATGGGTTCGGGGCGACTGGGGATCAGGTTGGGGCCGTAAAGGTTGACGGGGGCTGGTTTAGCGCGATAACCAAGGGCCGAGCCTGCGGACGCGCGCTGTTCGCGTGTACTCGCTGTGGCGGGCCCCAGTAAGGAATCGTAATTCCTTACATCCTGTGGGGCTCTTGGGCGGAACAATTTGCAGGGGTCAATTTTGGGATGGTGTATTGAAACCGAAATACCGTCTCTTGGGCTGGTGTATGACTCTGAATCTCTCGGGCTCGCATCGCACCGCTAGAGATCTCCAAATCCCAGCGGAGCGCATGGCTATCCGAATATTGCCGGCCGTCAACGGCCGATCATCACCTGACTGCCGGAGCCTTTAGGCCGTTCCGTCGCATTCTTGAAACGGTCTTCTCCACCCTAAACTATCTGCCCGTGATGCCGCCCTCGCCGTTCGTCCCCCCGCCGCCCGACGATCTATTCGGGCCCGACAATGACGAGTACACGCGCACCACGCCCTTCAGTACAATCACACCCGCGGACATCCCCGCCCCCCCTACCCCCGACTACTCCGCGCATGACCACTCACCCCTCCGCGGGGGTCCATACGGGGGTGCGGGCGGTGGCTTCGGCAGACGGGGGAGGGGCGGGCGCGGGCGGTGGGGGAGAGGCGGAGGCGGGTGGGAAGAGCGCGGGCAGGGGTACGGCGGGCGGGGGCGGTACTGGCAAGGCGGGGGGGACTTCGGTGGCGGAAGAGGCGGGGGACACGGGGGAGGCGGGCGGTGGGGAGGCGGCGGAGGGGGGAGAGGCTGGGGGGACGACTTGGGGGGGGGTGGCGGATTCCAAAGAGGAGGAGGCCACGGGGGAGGGCGGGGGGTCGGAAGATTCGGCGGTGGAATGGGGGGGATGGGGGGAATGGGGAGGATGGGGGGCCCGCGGCAGCCGTCCGGGCCAGCGTTCCAAGTACTCCCGGCCAACAACCCCAACCTGGCGTCCATGGCCGTGCTGGGGCTGCGCGGCCACCACGACGCCGCGCTCAAGGCCGCCAAGCTCCCCACCTTCCAGAAGCCGAATCTCCTGGCGGGCTTCAGCCGGCTGGGTGATGGCACTGTGTTCTGGGACGAGAGGTGTTTGAGGCGGTTGAGACCGGCTATTCTGGGCAGGGATGGGGTGGGGGGGGTGGGGAGGGGTGGATCTGAACGAGGGGTTTGAAGGGTTTGTGGAGAAGAGGGAGAATGGGGGGGGAGTGGGGGGAGGGGAAGGGGGAGAGGAGGGGAAAGCGGGTGGTGATGGCACAGATGGTGCTGCTGCTTCTGCTGCTGTTGGTGACAGTGAGAGTGGGTTTGCGGATGTGTTAAGAGCAATGCGGTCGGTGCTGAAGCACCAACTAGCCGCGCTACAGCCGGGCACGTCCCCCGACCGCCTGCATTTCGTCACCTTCCGCAACAACCTGAACAAGCTCATGGGCGTGTGCTACAACCGCCAGGACGCGTGGGAAATGGGCGTGCACAAGCGGCTGGGTTCGGTGTATCTGGACGTGCACAAGACGGCGGCGGACCAGCAGCAGCAGCAGCACAAGTCGGAGCAGCAGCGGCGGTTCGAGTTCTACGGGTACTCCTTCGAGCGGGTGGCGACGGAGGCAAGGAAAACAGGCCCAGGGGAAGCTGGAGCAGGAGGGGAAGATAGTCCGGTGATAGACGCTAACGAAGAGTTCTGTGCGGTGCTGAAGACCAAAGTGGGTGCGCACCGCGTGCTGATGGGTGCGGAGATGGACTGCTACGAGTGGGTCAACATGCCGCAGCCCAGCAGCGGCCCCCCCAAGCCCGAGCGCATCTTCCTGGAGCTCAAGACCAGCCTGCTGCCCGAAACCGAGGGCCAGCGGGAGCGGTTCGAGCGGGACAAGCTGCTCAAGTGGTGGATCCAGTCGTTTGTGGGCGGCGTGGGGGCGATAGTGGTGGGGTTCCGGGACACGCGCGGGCGGCTGGTGGGGGTGGAGCGGTGGAGCCTGGGGGAGGTGACGAGGCGGGTGAAGGGGAAAGACTACTGGGAGGCGGGGTCCGTGCTGACATTCACGGACCAGGTGCTGACGTGGCTGTATGGCAGCGCGCAGGAGGGCGGGGACTATGTGTTGCGGTTCGTGCCGGGGCAGAGCAGGCTGGAGCTGGCTGCTGCGGATGGGTGCCCCGCCTTTATAGAGCAACACTGCCAGGAGTTGGCTGCCATTGGAATCAGCTGAGGACAACAGTAGCTCGAGCAGGTGCGCATGTGGCTGTATGGCAGCATTCAGGCAGGCAGCCTTTTGGTCGACTCAAAAGCCGCAGCAGGGGGCGGTCCCACTATGTGCTGCGGTTAATGCCGGGGCTGAGCACGCTGGAATTAGCTCCTGCGGATGGGTGCCCTGCTTGCATTGAGCAGCAACACGGCCAAGAGCTTGCAGCCATGGGAATCAGCTCATGACAATAGTTGGGCGAGTGGGTGCCCACATGGCTGTATGGCAGCGCGCAGGCGGGCGGCTATTTGGTGGTCTCAAGAGCCGCAGGAGGGGGCCGGTCGGGTTCGTGCCGGCGCAGAGTAAGCTGGAGCTTGGTCCTGCTGACTGTTGTGGCCGGGGTTCATAGGGCAGCACTGCCACCAACACATGATGCAGGAGTGGGGTGCATGGGTGCGCATGTGGCTGTATGGCAGTGCGCAAGAGTCTGAGAGTTAGAACGAATGACTAGAATGAGAGGATACAGGGGTATATAGCTAGTGGGTTGTACTCTCTATGGCAAGACCCTATGTAGTCTATTAAACATACACAAATATGTTTGACACACCCCCTAGACTAGATATGGGCAGAGCCTGATGAGAGACAAGCAGCTCAGGGCGGCACTACTAGTCCAACCTCTGAGGCAGGGGTCTAAAGACCAGAAAAAGTGTACAAACAACGCAAGAACAAGACCAGGGCGGCACTACTAGTCCAACCACTGGGAGGAAGCCACAAGACCAGGTAGGATAATATATAAAGAGTTATACACAATCAAGGTCCTAGCAAATGAGGTGCTACAGGAACGAGTCCAAGCTGTACACCGTGCCACTGATGATCTTTAGGCGCAAGCGCCTTCGTAAAGATATCAGCTGTGTTGGCATCGGAGGCCGTGTGTACTACACGGGCCTGGCGACGCTGCTGTAGCTCGCGCAGGAGGAAGTACCGCAGCTGGATGTGCTTCGCTCTGCCCTCGAGTCTGGGCTCCTGACACAGGAGGATCATGGCCCTGTTGTCAGCGTACAGGACCGGGGCAGAGCAAGGCCGCTCACCAAAGTCTGTGAGCAAGAAAGTCAGCCAACAGAGCTCCTGTGCCGTCATGGCACCGGCGTAGATCTCAGCCTCACAGCTAGACTGGGCAGTAGACGACGAGCGGGTCGACCTCCACGAGACAGCACCTGCACCAAGGCAAAAACTATAGCCCTGGGAGGACTTGAGAGTCTCTGCGTTGTCTGCCCAAGAAGCGTCTGTGTGCCCGGTAAGGACCACTAGTCTACGTCCTCCTAGCACTAGCTCCATGCCCGATGTACTTGCTAGATACTGCAAAACCCTCTTAGCTGCAGACCAGTGTTGTGGTCGGTGTCTGCCGGAGGCCACAAAGCGGGTCATGATGCTGAGAGGGTATGCGAGATCTGGGCGAGTGCAAGTCATCAGGCACATGAGGCAACCCACCATCTCTACGTAAGGACCACTAGGCTCTATAGCCTCCTCTGGAACTGGAGCAGAGAGTCAGTGGTCTACTGGCAGAGGGGTGGGCTGTGCGGAAGAGAACTGAAGGCCGAACCTCTGAAGGACCAGGCGCACCAAGTGTGACTGTGTGAGAGTGATGGTGTGCGCTGCTCTGTTCCTGGAGATCTGCAAGCCAAGGTAGCGGCGCAGCTCTCCTAGATCAGTGCAGGTGTGTTTCCTCAGCAGCTCGGCCTTCACGAAGGCCAGCGCGTCTCTCTGTCTGCAGTAGCAAAGACCAGATCGTCTTTGTAAGGATGTAGAACGGAGTCTGGCCGGAGCGGACGAAGAGCGAGGGGTCCGCAGACGGCAGGAAGAACTGCAGGTCAGCAAGTGTAGAACGCGGCGTGTCGTGCCACTTACGGGGTGCCTGGCGCAGGCCGTAGACGGGGCGCCGAAGAAGCCAACTGGTACCAGGGGTAAAGATACCAGAGAAGCCCTGGGGGCGGCGCAGGTAGACCTGCTCGTGTAGACTACCCTGGAGGAAAGCTGTGGAGAAGTCGCGTCAGTGCAGTTCGTAGTCACGCTGTGCTGCTACGTGTAATAGTCCCCGAACAGTAGTCATCTTAGGGGTCAGGGCGAAGGTCTGAAAGAAGTGAACCCCCTCACGCTGATTAAAGCCACGAGCAACGGAGCACGCCTTGAAGACAGGCGGCTCTCCAGGAGGGCGCTTCACCTTGAAGAGCCATCGGCCATCGACTACGTTCACCCCAGGTGGGGGAACTGCGTCGACGAAGGTACCGGTGGATCTCCAAGATGCCATCTCCTGCTCCATGACAGCTATCCACTAAGAGGCCTAGGGTCCCGAGGTGGCCTCAGCGTAGGTGCAAGGGGTCGGGATGTCAAGGGCGTCTGGGTCACCCTCAGGGACTAGCAGCATGGAACAGAGCTGGGGAGCGGCCTCTGACAGGAAAGCAAGCTCGTAATGCCAGTCCTCTAGAATGTCACTGCCAAGGGCAGCCACATCCTCGACGGACGGAAGGCAAGCAGGGTCAGAGACCAGAGCAGTGGTGTAGTCAAGGCAGCGGGTAGCGGTGAAGTCAGCGACAGCAGTGACAAGAGCGTGAAGGAGCGAGACAGAAATAGACGTGTCGGTAACAAGGGAGGCAAGGACACGAGGAACAAGGGGACGCGCGGTATGGAGGAAGTAAAAAAAACGGAGGTGAGGCCACAGCGAGCGACAACGGAGGAGGAGAGGGGAGGAGCGGAGGAGCACGAGACCCATGGGAGCGAAGCAACATAGGGTGAGAACGCGAATCAGGGGAGGTAGGACGAGCACGAGACGGACGACGAGCCCAGACGTGAGACGGAGGATTCGGGTCTGGAAGAGGGGAGGAGACACAGGAGGAGAACGAGGAGGGAAATGAGCCAGAGAAGAGTCCACCGGAGGAAACACAGGGCCGTAGACTGGCAAAAGAGGAGGCGATGGCGCCCGAGGAGGCACAGGCGGGCGGTCAGGAGAAGGAAGGTCGAGGAGGCGAAGAGCGGACACTGGCGGCGACGGCGTCGACTACTGCCCGACGCCAACACCAGAACCTCTAGATTGACCACGACTCTCTCTAGGAAGCCCCACGCCAGCACCCCTAGAATGGGAACCCGCTCCAGTACCCGCTCCGGCACGCTCCCCAGAACCCCCAGAACGCACAAACCCCAGCGGCTGTGGTGACGGCGGCTGCGGCTGTGGCAGTGAGGGCAGCTGCGGAGGCGGCTGCGGCTGCGACAGCAATGTCAGCGACATGGGAGGAGAGACAGGGGCGGGGACAGCTGGGGGAAGGGACTCCGCCGAGCCGTGAGAGTCAGCAGGCCCCTTGGCAGGGACAACTGACGAGAGGGGGGTGACGTGGGACACACAAGACGGGGCAGGGTGGGGAGGGGGGGGAACAAGGGTGACCGGGGGAGGGGGGAACTAGGAACTGGGGGGGAGTGATCTGGGGACCACGGTGGGGAAAGCAGTGGTAGAAGGAGACAGACTCATCAAAGGTGACGTCGCAAGAGTGAAAGAAACTTTGAGACGGCGGGTGGTAGAAGTGCCAGTCAGACGAGTCGAGGGGGAAACTTAGAAAGACACAGGGGACTGTGCGGGCTGTGGGCTTGTCCATGCCAGAGGCACGAACGTGAGGAAGGCAGCCCCAGACGTGGAACGCAGACTCGTCACCAGGAGACCCGTTCCAGAGGAGGGTCGGCGAAACCTGCGGCCGCTGAGGGTGTGGCCACAGGTTAAGCTGGTGGGCGGCGTAGCGAATGGCGAACGGCCATATAAAATGGGGATGCACTGGCATGGATCATGGAGGTCAGCGACCCCATTCTGCTGCGGGGAGTCCGGCAGTGTGTACGTCTGGGTGATGCCCTCTGCACGACAGAAGTGACAAAGGCAGCCAGAGGCGAACTCGCCACCACGGTCGGAGTGAAGATGCAACACAGGGAGACCCCGGTGCACACGCGCAGAGACAAGCCACGGGATAAGAATGTCAGGCATGTCGGCCTCTGCTCCAAGGGAAACACGGTGGTGTAGCGAGTGTAGTCGTCGACAAGCACTAGGAAGTAACGCACACACCGTGGCCCATGGACGGGGGCGGGGCCCCAGATGTCCATGTGCTGGGTCTGCAATGGTGCGGTGGTGGGGGGGAACGAGGAGGATTGAGGGGCACGGCAGAGCCGGCCCTCGATACAAGGGGTGCACGGAGACACTGCCGAGGAGGGGAGCGCAGGGAATGACGCACGGAGACCTAAGACAAGACCGTGCTGAGACATGTGACAGAGACGTGTGAGGGCGGGGTGACCTAGGCGGTGGTGCCACAGAAGCGACGGGTGAGTAAGCGACTGACACGAGCAAGCCGCAGCAACCTGGGTAGACACTGCCACCTGGGGGGGCGTCCCAACTTGGGGGGACGCGGTATCCAGCATGAACAGGCCAGACATCGGGTCCCGGGGGCTCGTGGTGAGGGGGGCACCAGTGGCAGCCTCGGTACAGACAGTGTACCTCTCGTGCCCAGGGTCCTACGCCTCACGCAGCAGGGGAGCCTATATTAGGCACAATGGGCACACCTACACTAGGCTACATGGGGTAATAGGAACCAGTCACACTAGAGTCATCGACATACAGCACATACAAAGCAGAGCTAATCTCATCCTTGTCCATATCAAAGATCCTAACACCACGGCGAGCAGACTGTGCTAGTCGGGGAGGTCCAGCGCGGGGCCAAAGCGGAGACGAACTAGGTCGTCCAAGTGAGTGAAACAACGAGTGGGGGTATGACCCGTCGTACCGCACACGAGGCCGCGGCGAGGATCGGTCCGGAGCTGGTACTGGCAGCACCCGTCACTCGCACCACCACCTGACGACGAGCTACGCGCACGACCACCACGACGACCACCACCACCACCAGCGCCAAGCCACCCATGCAGGAGGCGGCCAACCCTCCCCTGCGACTGCTGCTACTGCTGCTGCTGCAAGTGGTCAAGCTATGGCGCCTACTGCTGCTCCCGCTAGGGCTGCTACTCCGAGGCACCAGCCCCAGCCCCCTTGTCTGTACTATCGCCAGCGGACGAACCACCTCCTCCACCACCTCCACCCCCTCCACTACCCCCGCCGCGCCCAGCCTTGGGGCGGCGAGCCTTACCATAACGAGACTGCGCTGCTGCCACCGCGGCAGCGGTCTCTGCAGCAGGGGCTATCTCAGCTACTGCCGCAGAATCGTCAGAGTAAGTGCAGTGGGCGAGAGCACAACCTTGAAAGATAGGGATTGGCGCAGAACCACTAGACTGGGCGATAGAGCGCTAACGGGTCTCTATGGCAAACAGGGTGTCGACAAAGTCGGAGAGGGTGAGGTCAACGGGGTGCAGACTAAGAAAGTGGTCGCGGGCAGTGGCAAGGTGGTCGGGGAGGCAGGTGGCAAGCAGGTAAAGGGTAGAGCAGATAGGGGGCTAGAACACACGAAGCTGGGCCTCAGTGCAGGCTGCGCGCCAGCTAGCGTCGAGCGTGCGCATGTGCGTGACCAGGTCAGCGATAGTGGGGAAAGACGCGAGATCAGGGAAGAGCATGGGAAGGATCAGGC